TCGGGCATTGTGTGCTCCCAGCGGGCCCGGCCCTGGAGCTTTTTAGCCTGGTGCAGGATGGGTCAGCCCTGCCTGCTTCATTACGGCACGGCTGTGAGCAATTCATAAAAGACTATCTAAGCATCTGCCAGCTCCAATGGGCTGTGTGATGGGCCCTAATCGGACAGACTTCCCTCCGCTTTTCATCATCATTAGGGCACAGATAATTAAACAATTTAAAACAACATTGGTTTAAGGAAATTCATTATAATAATAATTATTGTTATTATTATTAACGTTTTTGAGAAAAATATGAATTGTGGCCCTAGAGTATGAAGATCAAATATATAATATTCTCATCCTCAAAGAAGAGGTCTCCACCATCGCTCCCAGCCAGACTAAAAGCTAATCCTTCATTTTCCAGTTGAATTTGAGTTTGAGTGTTGTCCAGATCTCACAGGAAGACTGTTTCACCTTGGTTTTGCTCCTCCTCCTCCCCTCTTCATCCAAAGAAGACATTTTTGGCTGCCATCAGGGAGGTGGTGGAGTGCAAACCCACCTAAACTCAGTTAACCCACCTCTTAAGGTTGACAGAACTCTTTCTGACATAAACTCATTGTGTACTTTGCAGTAAATGATGTCAAGAGATGACAGATATGTTATAAAAAGAGGATTTTATGTTTTTTTATTTGTTTGTATTTTTCTTTCACAGTTAAAGAAGAATTAATGAGTTTTTGAGACATTTATCTTTATTTAAATTCAGTGTTGCTCTTTTGATCACCGCTGCCTGCAATCTGCACCTCACTGGTAGCCTCCTATATGGGAGTCATGGACGCTATAGCCCCTGGCTAGCTTTTTCTTCCTCAGCCCAAACGCTTTCATTAGGTGTTGATTTATTGAAATGCATTCTTTATTCTCAGGTGGGCTCCCCCAGGGACTCAGCACTGTTGTCAAATAGCACCAGAGGCACTCTCCAAAGCACACAGGGGCTCTGCCTCTCTCTCTCTCTCTCTCTCTCTCTCTCTCTGTCTCTTTTTCTCACCCGCTGCTGCTCCCATCAAATGTCAACATTTGTTCTTAATAAAAAAAAGAGTTATTGTTTCTGTTAAAAAAAAAAGAAGCTCAGCAAACAGTTGCCTTTGAACACATGAAAAGAAACTTCCACCCCACCTCTTTGTTTGATTGAGAGCAACGGCAGGTGAAAATGAGAGCAAGGCGTCCACTGCACATGACAAACCTCAAGCTGTGAAGCCTGTTATGAAACAACTGTGAATTTATGCCACAATTAGTCACAATTGTACAAAAGCATTTCTGTCCTTTTTTGAAGAACCTTGTCTTTGCCTCCCATTCATTAAACTATTAGCGTAAGAATCCAGGGTGCCCCTGACATAGTCTTGATATTGATCCTCAAGGGCAAAACAGAGAAATTACTGTCTTACAACAACTACAACATAAGGTCCAGCTAAGCTTTAGATTGAGGGAACAATTTAAACTTGTATTATTATTCTTTTATTCCATGCATTGCATTTCAAATACAGTCACAGTCCTGTCATGGTAGTTTCCAACAAGCGTGTGTTCATCCACACTAAGGACAAGTTGTCATTGAACGCTAAACTGATGGTATCACAGGGCTCATAGGCTTCATGTGAGCGTAGACTGGAGAGCAAGTGAACTCATTCCCCTTATCGCTGATCAAATAAGTAGCTCGTATATGCAGATAAATCATGAGCTCTTTGTATCCTTTATCCTCCCATCACCCGTTTCTCCTCCAAAAAGCTTCAGACATTAATCTCTGACACACGCCTGTGTGCTGCTTCAACAGGAAGTTAATTCTGCTAAAGTTGTGTTATTGCAACAGAGGGTTTATTGTGTTTCACAAACAGTAATTGGAGTTTATGGAATGGAATGTTAAGTAAGACCAGTACTGATGAATTAGACGCCAACACTCAACACGAAGAAAGATGTGGAAGTTGAACTTGCATTTCATTTGACAGTGTATATGACCATAGTGTATTTTCCCTTGTGTCTCCTGTGGGCAGACAAAAGCTAGAATAATTAGCTCTTTCTTTAATCTAGGATGTAATACAGGCACCTATATTGGCAGTCCTTTAAAAAAAACTTTAGTAATTTTCATAGTTTATTCTGGGATAGGATTCACAGGGTATTTCTATTATCTAGTTCATATTCAAAGATATCATGTGAACCAATAATATAAGCAACAATGCCAATTGTTTTTATAGCACATTTACAGTCTAATAATAAATAAAGAGAGAGTAATATGAACAAAAAGTGTTTTTACCCTTTGACTGAACCTTTCTTTAGTTCTACCCTTTCTGACTCTGAAATCCATCCAATAAAACCTAACCATAAATACTGCTGATATTCATACATCACCATAATCTTTAGTGAGTGAGAGACAAAAGAGTAGTGTACAAATCAGGTACACTTGTGTATAATAACACGCATCAAGGTGAATGGGGGGACTTTAAAAATGAGTTCAGGAGTCCTGTCCTCTCATAAAGCTGCCAGATGAAATGCTCACTACTCCGAATGTACAGTATGTGATACACATAGTGATGTATGCTTCCAACTCCTTACCCTATAGTGCCCAGACACATATTCTCTCTCTCTCTATCAAACTGAGAGACACTAATGCTTGTCCATATAACCCTCTAAACAAGGCCATTAGGAACCCTGCCTTCTACTCCTAATTGACAGTCATGTTTAATGCCTGTGGCGAGTAAACACTTAAAGCTAGTGGACTGCACCTCTGGGCTGTAAATCAGTCCAAACCTGGAAGCTCGTGTTAGAGGCAGTTGTGAAAACCCACATAAAGGTGAATGTAATAAGTGAAAAGAAAAAGACTTTGAAGGCAATTCATGGAACCGTTTCCATGATTAATGCTGTCTTTGTATGTGTCTACCGTGTTTTGTGCACTTACTATTCACACACAGTGCTCACACATAATGCAACGTAGCAGCATTTGTTTTATTGTTTGCATTGGAACATTATTGTCTTTGTGGTAAAGTTGTTCTGTTACTATCCACATATGCAACTCTACAACATGTTACACAGAATCATTCTGTCATTATACAATTTGTTATTTTCCATTAATAACACTTGTGAATATGTCGCGCTCTTCTACGCCCTGTGCTCTGGGCAGGTGTGTCAAACTGATTTGCTTTGAAATTCTGTTTAAATGGCAAGGCAAGGCAATAAAAACATAAACATGGATTAAAGAAAGTCAGAATAAAAAGACATTTCACCAATAGATTTTAAGATAATAATGTTTATATCTAGAGTTTATGTAAAATTTTATTCATTAAAATAACATTTAATGTAGACTTAAAGGGAGTTTACTGGGTGATTCCTTTGTTTTAAAAGGCACTCCTAACACACACACACACAGTACTAATACAAGCACACATGCACGTGTAGTGTTGGATTATCTTAAAAATAACATCATGACTGACAGAGCTGTGATGACAAAGTTAAGAAGAGCAAAACGACGTCCCTCTTTATGTCCGATATGCAATATGTACAATACAGCCAATATGTACAGTACAGTCATGTATACACAGGCACACACATAAATCTGAAAAGAGTTTATGAGCACAGCATACAGGGAACCCTTCAATAACTGTTTGATTTTTCAGGACTTGTGATGTAATATGGCTTTACATTATTCCTTGTTTTTGCTTTTTGGCAATGCTATTACAAGTGTGTGTGTGAAGGTGTTAATTATGTTTCCATATGCTTATCCATAATTGTCATCTGTATATCCATAGTAAGTGACTGCTTCTCTGTGTGCTGTGATGTATTTAAGTGCAGTTAACACTCAGTTAAATCTCATCCCTGAATTGCAGACTGTCAGTTTTAAAGATCAGTGAATCCAACAGGTGGAGGCAACAGGCATAAGAAAATGCACGTCTCTCCTCCTGCCTGTCTAAATGCTTTATAAATGAGCTCAACATATCTGCAAAGAATCGTTTTTTCCAATGCATACTCTGCGAAACTTATCAAGGAAGTGATTTATTATAAACAATATTTGTCAGACTTGTTGGTTAACTAAATGAAGCTTTGCTTTAAGTCTACACATTAGTTGTAGTGTGACTTTTCAGGTGAGTCTACCACTTTCAACCTGGGGTAGCAAGCAAATCAAACTATTAAATGAAAATGTACTGACAAAAATCTCTGGAATAGACTATTTAAACATGTTGCTTCATTCATATATAGCTAGACATAAGACAGATGAAGAAGCCAAAAGACACAATCTGGTGTCATAAAATTCAGGCATGCTACCACCTAACCTCCATGGTGTATCCACCTTGCAACATAATTCCTGAATTGACAATGAACATTGGTTTGGTGTGTCATTTGTAAAGTACAGATCCTGATGTAACCCCTAGTGCTACTGAGATATTTCAGAACTAAGTTACTGTTGACTGGAGATCAGAAAGGATCAGTGGTAAAACAAACTTGAACAAACTCAAACTTGCTCTTAGTTTGTAAAATATTTGAAAATGTTAAAAATAGACAGATTTTC